CAGTTCACCTAGGAGTGTTTCCAGATTCTTTCTGCTGCTACTTTCCTCCACTTATGAGAGATGTACACTGGATGGCTGTCTGTGCTCAGGGTTCTGAGGTATGAAGACCTGCAGTTGGGGATCGTTTGCTTCTTGCATGTGAGTCCAGGCCTGGCTGCACAGTGGGGCAGAAGCCAGCACAGCCCTGGGATCACTGCCTTATCCAGAGGCACAAGCAGGTATGGGACCTCTTTCCCTCACCCTTCATTCCCCTGTTCGAGTGATGTCTGTGAAAACACCTACCAGCCCACCTATTTCCCTGGTGAGTGGGAAGAAAGGCAAGAGATCTACTATATAGCTATGGGTCAGTTATCTTTTACTTCTATGGAAATGAATCATATTCCTACGTCAACCCAGGGTATGGAAAACAGGGGTCTTTACTGCTTGAAATATTCTGTGCAACCAATTACCACTTTGCTACCTGGTGCAAAAAGCTTATAGTAGGGGAAATGCATATTTGCTCTGTCTGAAACATTCTGCTGAAGAGATTTATTTCAGATATGCATTTCTCCATATCTCTTGGCATGCTGCCTGCTTTGCAACAGCACTGCTTTGCTTGTGGGGAGGTCAGTTGGGAGTGGAGCTGGACACTGCCTCCTCTTTGAACAGGGCTGAGGCAGATCCTGTGCTTCCTGGAACACAGTGCCTGCAATTCTGCCCATTTCTTAACTAGGCCATACGCCAGGAGGGGGGAAGACTTTGAGATGTTTCACAGGCTACGGTGAGGGCCTGAAAGAACCTGGATAATCACAGTGAAAAATTCTCTCTGATAAATGCAGTTGAAAGAGTTGAAACGCTAGGCTGGAACGAGGAAATATCCTGTGTTTGCTGTCCAAGTTGAGAAGCCTGTTTGTGAAACCTTCAAAATGAAACCTTGATAGCATTACTTACCTCTCTGTGCATTTACTTTGGCAGAAGGATTCTTTGTAGGATGATTATGAATAATAAATAATGCTATATGGAGAAAAGCGTACATTCTGTCTTCACTTTACAGCTATAATTTTCAGGATTACAGCTGTAATCCTATTGGTCTTAGTAGAATCTTTTCTTGAAGGAAAGATGTTGGCTCAGTTTGAGTTGAGAGAGCAGGCTCTAACATCTTTTCCTAACATTTCAAGTACTAAATTAGATTCTATTTCATTTAGATGATCTTCTCATATTTTTTCTCGTATTTCTGGACTGCGAGTGATCAGCTACTTGTGCCAGCATAACTCAGCTGCTAGTTCTCCTGGCCACATAAATGCTCTCTAAAACTGAGAGTGCTGGGAATCGCAGGTGCTGGAGTATTTGAAGACATGAGTGCTGTCCTGCCTGGAGTGGACCTAAGCTGTGCCCTGCAGTTCGCACTGTGTCAGGTTCTGAGTTGATACCTGACTTGTTTTGCCTAAGCAAAGGCAGCAACTGCTCTGATTTCAAGATCCTCCTTGCATTATGTGAATTTGAAAGCTTCTGGCACTCCTCTAGTTTTCACCTTCAGTTTGTTCTCACCTTGAATTTGTTTTCCTGTTCTACATAACTCTGTTCCTGCTTCTGTGTGACCTGAGCACCGGGTTAAACTTTGAGGCCTTTTGTCCAGCTAAAGAAGGCTTTCCAACAGAGGATTCATACTCTCACTCTCTGCAGCTCTCCCAGCTCATCCTATTAACAGGTCCACAACAGATGGATGGTTTGTTCTCATCTCTAACAGGGCAGTAAAGACAGATATACCCTGGAGAGAGCTCCAAATGCTGATGAAGACAGACACATGTGCCCCTAGACAAATGGCACACAGGATATTTGTATTAGTGCGAATCGGCTGACTGTTATTGGGGCCGATGCCTCATCCTATGTGGATATAACAGCAGTTCAGTAATTGGTGTGATCAGACATTTCTCAGTGGTACCTGCAGGGAAGGAACTACAGCAGAAAAGTTGATGCTTACTCTGTGAGTAAAGGACTTGGAAACTGGTCACAGTAAAAGTTTTGCTTTCTTGCAATGGGAGAACAGTCTCATGTTACTCTGTGCACAGTTTTGTGCTCTTTCTGTTTGCATAAAGCCTTCTTAATAGATGTAGGTGTTAATAAGGATGGGCAGAACTGTGATGAACCCACTTGGAAGATGCACAGGATCTATCATGAGAGAACACTGAGTACAGTCTGGAAAGTTGGTTACCTCTCGTTGTGGTATTAATCAAGATCATCTCTAGTTACTTTACCTTCTGGTGTTCACTTCAAAAAACCTGACGCTGAGAAGTCAGCAGCAATAGAGAGAAGAGAGAGGTGATGGGTTTAATATTGCAAAACCTCTCAAGGAGAGGCTTCCTGCATCGAATGAACACGTGAAGTTGCTCAGCAAGGGCTGAGCTGCAGGCTGCAAGTGCTGCGTGTGATAGCAGAGGAGAAGGAGAAACAGCCTAATGAGATCGGATGCCTGGAAGCAGAGCTGGACAAACGCTGATTAGAAATAAGGCGCAGTGTTTAAAGGGAGGTTAATGAACTGCTGGAATAACTTTGCCGTGCTGAATTTACTGCAACTTGAAGGCTTCAGATCAAACCCGTGGCTGTGATTTGAAGCATTATTGCCTTATAAGCACTTCTGGGGGTTCTCGAAGGACCTCGAGGGTTGGGAGCAGCGCTCAGCCTGGCAGCTGCCCACACAGCAGCCTGGCTCCCAGAGGGGAAGGTGAACGGAGGAGCTCTGTGACAGCAGCGTGTTAGCATGATTAATGATAACACTTAATTTGCCTGGACAGCTCATTCCCGCACAAAGGAGAGCTCGGAAGGGCCGACGACAGCTCCGCCGCGTGGGGCCGGCTGAGGCGGCACGGCGCCGCCAGGGGGCAGCAGCGCCACGCGGCAGAGGCGGCGGCCGCCGGGAGCCTTCGGGAGCCTTCGGGAGCCTTCGGGAGCCTTCGGGAGCCTTCGGGAGCCTGACTGCCCTCTCCCCCCCCCCCAGGAGTCAGAGAGAATGGAGGAATTAGGGCTTTCTGAATATTTAATGGATGGAGGTTGTCTAAATTATTGAATAGCTTATTATAAGAGATGGCTTAAAAAGGTTTGGTAATTCATCCTTTGCAGAAAGTGGCTGTAAGAGGCATTTTGCAACATGTAAATATTGGTGGGAAGAGTACTTACTTTAGAATGCTGTCTTATTCTGTCAAAAGAAATATACAGTGCCTGCAAGGCATCAGAATGCCCTGGATATGCAATATTATCCGTCTCTTTTGCTGTATCCCTCTAATTAGAATGAGTTGGGATAACCAGTACTTCCCTTTCTCTACCCAGTGTTTAACGTGTCTTTGGTGACACTGAAGTTAGTATTTACCTGTAGGTGCATCTCAAGTTCTTCTTCCTTCTCTCTGATAAAAATTACAGAGCAAAGAAGCGCCAAAACCTAATTTGGTGTATGGAGGTATTGATTCGTGCAAGAGCACTGTGAGGATATATTTATCTGTTCTATTATGAAATGGGTAAAAATGTACCACGCCGCACTTCAGTCTTTCAATACTGTATTGAAAAGCCTGCTTGCGTGCTTTTCTTCTCAGTAAGCCTTTGGAAGCACACTGATTTTTTTTATTTTTTAATATTTTATGCGCTTAAGAACTACTAACAAGAAAGGCTTGATATAATGCTTGCCTTAAGACATCTTTTTGCCCACGTTTTGTTTTGATTTGAACTGCTGCACTGCGACTTTGGCTCACTCTGAAACTCCATGTTTGAGGATTGAGACGGAGTAAAATGTGGTTAATTATGGATTGTTGGCCTGGTACCGCTTTAATTCCAGTGTTTGCTGTTTTCTCATTGTGTTCTGAGCAGGAGGAAACTGAGTGTGTTGAGCCAGGGCCATTCCTGTCCTAAGCTCCTGGAAGATGTCTGCTTACTGACTTTTCTGCCCCCAGTGTGTGTTAATGTAATTTTGTGTTTCTTAAAAAGTGGGTTTCCAATTGATCAAAGGACTACTGAAACGAAAGGAGTGGTGGGAGAACATGGGAAAAGTTTATTGTGATCACTCCGTCAGGGGAGACCACATTATTATTACTCTCACAAATTACATTGTGTCTTGTTTCCAATAACAGAAGGTCAAGTTGAGCCCAGGGATAGAAGTGAGAGAACGAATATAAACAATAAAAGCAAAGAGACTTGGCTGCCTATGAATTGGAGTGTTTGAGCTCATTATTCAGTGGAATGCGTGTCACTAGTGCTAGAAAACTATCTTCATATAATGACTTGGAAATGTAGCTTCTGGGTGCAGGTGGGCTTGGCCTGAATATGGTGCAAGTAGAACCAAAAGCATCAGTGGGAGCAGAAAAACATTGATCACACAGACGTGATCCTATGGATGCAGCCCTGTGGACCCTCTCTGCTCCTGACGGGGCTGGACTCCAGGGGCCTTGGCCAAACCTTTATGAATATGGTGAAGGATTTCACTCCACATTTGATAACCTCTTATCCAATTTGTTGGAGGTTTCGAGCAATTGTGTGGAAATCTGTTTGCACCATGGCAGTGTCCTTCCACAATCTAACAGCTCCCATGGCATTTGTGTGGAGAGAGGACACTTGGTTGTCAGCCCACAGTAAGCAGCATGCTTTGTATGTATAATTTTCAGTGGAGCAAACTCTGCCTTTTGTTAATCATAGAAACATAGAATGGCCTGGGTTGAAAAGGACCATCATGATCATGTAGTTTCACCCCCCCTGCTATGTGCAGGGTCGCCAACCACCAGGCCAGGCTGCCCAGAGCCACATGCAGCCTAAATGTAGTTAATGTAGTGGTATTTCACAGCTGTCTCCACACAGTTCTCCCTGTGTTCTTTTAAACAAGTGAGAAGAGCAGTGTTTGCTGCCTTTGGCATCGGGTTGTACTGTAGATGGCACTGTGAAGCAACGATTTTGATAACAAAGATCTATTTCACAGCATCATTCTAGTTGTTAATTGCAGTGTAATATGGCTTTCTTTGTAGGTCCCCAAAGTGAAGAGAACGTTCTGAAATGCAGAAAGGCTTATCTGCAGCCGCAAATGGGAATCTGGAATAACTATGAAAAACACACTGAAATAATTGTGTTTGACTGGAACAAAATTCTTGCAAAGTCCCCAAGGTAAGAGTGCTTTTTAGCTTTCAAATGACACTGAAGATTTGCTGTTGTGGTTAGCAACACTATGCACTTGAATCCGAGAGAGCTAAGGCTTGACATTTCTGAAAGTGGCAGCCCGCTGACGCTGAAGGGCCCAGCACCCCTTGTTGCATCTGTCTGCCAAATTTCATCCATCCCTTGTCTTGTTAAAGATCACCCTGTATTCCTGTACGTTAGTGGGCTGAAGACTTGTATCCTGTCTACCTGAAGTCTGCAAGTGTTGTATCGTTTTAGTGACACTGAATGGTTTTAGCAGCCTCTCAGCTTGGATATAACTGTATGGATGTTTTTTAGTGATTCACTTATTTCTGAACTCAAATGAACTTACTCAAGACTAAGTTCACTCTGTTATGCTAATTGAACCTTGTTTCCCATTACCTATCTAATATCAGGCTCCTGGTTTCAATGCAGTCAGACTTTCATAACATGGGAAGGCTTTGAAATGATGTCAGCTCACATTTCCACTGAGCCTGGGCTCGCTCCTCTAATGGGAATGGTGGGAACACCTGGATCCACTTACATTCTGCAAAAGGAGCTGTTGAGCAGCCAGTGCATGATTTGAGGCCAAATATCTGTCCCATTTGTCAAGTCACACCAGAAATGACACGCTCAGAATTTCTGTCTATAGTATTTACTTTCAAGGGTTAAATCCTGCTTTTAGTAACACCTTCGGAAACCTGAAGGAAGGTCCCTATCTTCAATACATTACTACAGAGTGACACCAGACCTGGGATGTCCACTGATACCTGGATCAAATTTCTGTGTTTGGGTTTAGGGCAGCAGAGAGTTGATGAGAAAGATGAGTAAATCCTGGCTTCCTATTCAGAGGTACTGGTGCACAGGGTACAAGCCACGTGTTACTGTTGTCATAAGAGGAGACAGAAAACAATGGTTAAACGGTTAAATTCAGCTCTCTCCTCAATAGCGTGGCGTTACTGTCATTATCTGGGGAAAATCTGGGGACTGAACTCTGAAACGGTAGATTGATTTTAATACCTGCTGTGCAGTTTACCCAGGTGAAGATCAACAGCAATAACAACGCTTGTGCCTTCACTCTCACTCAGCCCCGTTAGCTGCGCTGGCCTCCTGTGGTTCAGCTGGGTGCAGGTGAATTAGACCCATGGTTATCAGCTGAAGTGTAACTGCTGTGAATTAGCTTAGGATGCTCTGTAAGAGGATACTTCTAGGATTGATAAGGAGCACTGGAGTTTTTGTCTCTTGATTGGTTGATTAATGCTTGCAGAAGAGTTTCACACACTGTTAATGAAGAATCTGTTTCTTCTTAAATTGATTTCAAAACAGAGCATCTTCTTAACATAGTTTAATATCTATATTTTTCCCAAATCAATCCTTAAAATATGGCTTATTTATTTTTTTCTTTAAGATTCTGTGTTATTTTACAATAAATGTGAAGCTTTTAAAAATATATATATATAATGATGGGCTGAAGACTACAAGGACAGCTGAAGGGGGAGAACAATTCCTTGATTAAAAACAAAGGAATCCCAAACCAGCAGGTACAAATAGTGATTGTTGCTAAAATATATTTGCAGCAGGTTTCTGGCCTCTTAACTTTTGATATGAAGAAGTGCATTTCTGAATTACTTGGGCCTCATCAATGTTCTCATTAATACATGTTGAGAGAACAGCGTTGTCTTGTGATGAGCGAGAAGGAAAATCGGGCAAGCACTTTCAAATGAGAAAATGTGAGATCTGCTTTATTTTCACTGGCAGATGGTTACTGGATTTAAAACCTGCCTGCCATAGACTAAGCTAAGGCATGGGATTGTTTTAATTTTATTTATTGATTTTCAAATTATCAGGCTGTTCAGCACTTGAGTTATCTGATTAGTTGAACAGTTTCAGGTATTATAAAGATATATAGGTGTAAAAAAAAAAATCCAGAATGTACCTGGAGGAATCAGAACTCGAATCTGCAGGGAAAAGTTCTCAAAGGACTTCTTGGTGCAAATAAAAATGCTTGTGATAGGCTTGTCCAAATCCCAGCATGCTGATTAACTACAGACTAACGCTGCTATGAAAGCAGTATTTAGTTCAGTTTATGCAAATCTGTGATTTGCCTTTAATTAATTTGATGTATTCCTGCTTACAGCATTTTCTGAAAGTGGGAAATGTTACATCTAGGAGTTCAAGTGCATAATGCACATTTATGTGTTGCACGAGTAATGCATCATCATAATTGAGTTTAAGAAAATGATCAGATTAACTTTCTATATGATGAATGGCATAACATAAGCTATTGAAGGATTTAATTGCAGATATTTGCAGCAAAATTACTGGGGATTTGTGTCTGTATTTCTATCGCTCCCATAAATAAGACTAACAACATCTGCCTTCTGTTAAGCAACTGTTTTCTGAAATAGTTTCTAACACTGACAGAGTAGTGAGACCTTGTGTATTTGGCTCAGGTGATGGTTTCATGACTGTTTAACCCTTAGCAAGCCTAGTGATGTCCAGAAAAGCCAGCAGATAATGTGTACTTGAGAGATAGAGCCACTCTGTACATGCCTACCTGCTGTTGGTGCCCTTAGCAAATAGACCCGAAGGGGTGTTAAATACAGATGACATTGTACTGTGGTGTTTCTATGATTTTGAGGCAAGGGCTGTTATCGGTACGCATATTGAAGTTTTGTGGATGGACCTTAACCAAAAAACAACGCCGCCCAAGATGTACTGCAGTTGTGTGGTGTTGTTATAAATATATGTGTGGTAATCTGATGTGTGACAGCCATCGCGTTTCTTCTATTGGTAAAGCATACTTAAAAAATGAATTGATTTCAGCCAAACCGTGAAAGTGATTTTTGTCAGTGCTGCCTTATTTGTTATTCTTCAGTATCTTCACAGAGTTTCCTTTCCAGCACTGGTTTTTATGTTATTCCCTACCCACGTTGTTCTTTCACTCATCTTCTTCCTTTTCTGCCTCCAGGATGAGATTCTGTGCCAAATCAATGCTTCTATCTGACTGGCTTTTTCTGGTCTATGTGTTAATGGTCTGCTGTAAATTGTTGTCCGCCTCTAGCCACCATCCCCGGGGACACACAGGTAGGAGTGTTTGAACTCATTATGTGCTACTGAGACCAATTAATACCACTTGCAGAATGTTAGGGCCCACTTTTTAGCAGTGGATAACTGATGAGGCTGTTGACAGCGTGTTACAGTCAGTGCAATGGGTTAAAAATACAGCAGCGACAAAACATGTTACTGTAAAAAATCATGGAGTTTCTAGCAATTTTTTGAAGTGAAATCCCTCCAATTTTTTTTTCTGGTGAGCTTCAAGACTGCTGGGACTTCAGTTTTTTAATGTATTTATTTATTTTATTTTTTTAACAACTCTGAAATGTATCTTTATCTTCCCCCTCCTAATCTAGTCCTTACCAGGAGAGTTTCTAATGGTATCCTTGGCTTTGGTGAGCAATAAATCAAAGCTCTAAGACTGTGTGAGCCAGTTCTTTCACAGAGTAACACAGATATGGACTGTGGTTTAGTTCATCTTGTCATATGCTACGTTTTTTTCCTGCAGAGTAAAGCAAAAATAATTGCATTTAAAGGAATGCATTTAAATTCTAGCGAGATAGATCTACCAAGAACAGTGTAAGTATCTATAAATGGCAGAAAAAGCTCAGAACAAGCTGGGTTGGCTTTGTGAATTGATACAAGACTGGATCTTGGAAGCCATGTGTTTGTGCTGGGACTGTGCAGAGAACCCAGCCTCACTGCAGAAAGACATACAGATGTACCAGTGCTAATGCCCTGTATCACCTTTGATCCCAGAAGCAAGAAAGGTAAAGCTAACACAGTAGTACCAGTGAATTCTGATTTTAGGAGAGCTCAAAATCCTGGCTGCACCCACATGATGAGAAGAGTGAGCTCTCAGTACTGTAGTTAGAGTTGTGCTGGCCTGGGGATTTCTGCTTCCTATTTGTGACAGTCACATTCTTAAATCAGGTGTATTGGCATTAATGCATGTAATGTTCTTAACTCTGAATCACATTCTCATGGGTCCACGTGTAATGTTAACATACACTTCAGCTCAGCACTAGGAAGTGAAGGTACTTTTGCTTGAGTGCTCATTCTCCAGATGAGACAACCTGTTGAGCTCTTTCCTGGCTGCTTCTGGTGATTGTCTAGGTAGGAGCTGAAGGATCCTCGTGTGCTTGCCAAAAAAATTGAAAATCCTGGTGCACCCCAATGAATTTGACCTACGTAGAGCTGCTGTGTCTGTTTATGCACTCACGGCACATTAGCCATGTGTGTATTTAAGAACTGCACAGAATACCTCTTGGCCTTGCTTTATCACCAACTGCTGGGTTCCATGGTGCTGTAGAGCATTTGTACCATGCTCAGATGTGTCGTTTGGCACTGCCCATCCAGCGTGAGCCTACTGCTTCATTCAAGTTCTATTTAAATTTAGTCGTCTTATCAGGGAAAAAATCCCTGATTTTTGCACCTTTTTAGACACATGTCGTATTCTTCCCTGGACATGAGCTTCTCTCATGCATACACTGAAGTGACCCCCATCCCAAATTGATTCTATGTTTCAGATGCAAGTCACCCCATTTTTGATTCCCTGTCTCCCTTATCTGATGCATGGCATCACAGAGCATTTGGAAGGCCCTCATGATGGGGCCTGCATTTCCCAGCATCATCTTTTTTTGGTAGCACCTAGCTTGTGATACTTTAAGAGGAACTTGTTTTTAAGAATGTGTTATTTGCCCCTGAAAACCCATGTGTTTCAGTCTGTATTTGGGATCGCTAGTCTCTTTTAGAAAAAGTGCTTACTCATGACATCTAAGAAAGTTTATTAGCCAAGGGCAGACAATAGAATTTAAGCTGAAAAGTGGGATTGACTTTTTTTCTTTGCAAAATACTGCAATTTTTAAGGAGTCTAATCCAGGAAAAGACACATATTGACTTTGGTTGTTTTAGATGGCACTTGAAAGAATGACATTTGACAGCTGTCTCCATAATATTCAGACAGGAACAGAGGCTAGATCTTTAAGGACCCAGAAACAATCCTGCTGCTGAAAAGTGAGAGACAATGGCATTGAGCAGTCCCTTTGACAAAAAGGGCCTCATCACTGTAATAAAGTGTAGGACAAGGCAGGCCTGTTCTGTTGTTCTGCAATATATTTGCTGCCATCAAATAACTCTTAGTGGAGAAAGAGCCCTGTTCAATCTAGCAAGCCAATTCTGCCATTGCTTTGAAGAAGTTTGGATCTTGAATCCAGCTTGAAGGCCTCAACCTATCTTTCGTTTGAATGGTGCAATAGTTTTGACTGACAAAATTAACTAGGCAAAAGGTAAAGGGGAGATGTTCCTTCTCATTATCATTACATCACTGAAGATGCTGCTTATGCAGATTATTTCAGCAGGCTCCCTCTCTATCTGTGGAGAAAAGATAATTCAGAACATTCATCTGATTTCATTGCAGTGAAGTACCCTGTTGAAGAGCTTGTCTTTTGCACTGACAATGGCTGAGCACCAACCTTACCACAGCTATTTAGAATGAGGCAGTATTTCAAGCTCCCAGAGTTCCTAACTGAGACCAGGATAACTATCAATTCCGTGCTGTGCTGAATGAAGCAATGTACCTTTAGTACCAGAGATTTGTTTCCACCTCACTGCTGTAAGTCAGGATCCACAAATGATGAAACACTGAATAGACACTTCCTCTGGTCATCTCACTTGGGGGCTGGACTTGTAGCTCGTTGATTGGTATAACCAGCTGAACAGTTTCTGTCGTGATTAACCAGTGCAGCTTGGCTTTTTTGGGGCTGCTGCATTTTATTTTGATGTGATGATTTCTACCTGAAATACTTTCAGCCTCCTTCTGCTTGCTGAAGGTTCCAGATTTTGGAGAATCCATTATTAATACACCTGGAAACCATATGCTTAATATACATCTGTAGGGCCAAATTTGACTCTGAACTGTCTTACTTGGTTCACTTTCTTTTTTCTTTGTGATTTCAAGTGAAGAGTTCTGCCCTAATAATCTGCTTGCTTCCCACAGATATAGGATGATGCAGAGCATAGGGATAAATCACTCTGAGTTCACTGGGACAGCTTGGTCTTCTTGCCAACTGGAAGAATGAATAGTAACTTCACAGAGTTTATTTCCCATTGCTCTGCAGATGGATTAATTTACAAGGTTATCAGAGGTTCAGTGAGAGAAGTCTTGTTGAAAATTGCAATGGCAAGTCAAATGTGCATGACCGTGGAGATTGGGAAGTGGATTCATAAGGGAATTAGCAGCAGCCTGAGGTGTTGAAAACTCTACCTCTTTGCTTAGTGAAATGCAGCAGAAAATCTAATTTGCTGCTTGGCATCTTAGATGCAATCTCCTGCAACCAGGATGCTGTCTTGGCTGTTGTTTAGAGGACCAGGGGTTTCAATTTTTCAACTGTGTGTAAAAGATGGGCTTCTTTTGTTGATTGGCTGTACAGGATCTGCACAGGGATCTGAGATAATATTCTGGGCTCCCATGATCATTTTCCTTTGTGCCCTTCTGACTGATGCCTGAACTGGGTGAGGCTGATGCATGGGACTCAGCTCATCATTTGAGTTATGCAGTTGTGCCTTTGATGCAGAAAACAAAGGCTCTCCTCTCTGCAGCTCCTGTTCTTCCCTTGCTGTTGGTTAGAGAAGGCAGTCTTTTTAGAATGTGTCTGTTTCTGATTTTCTATCTGTCTTTAATTGCTCTCAGATCTAGCCTACCAGTGGGACAATCCAACACTTGTTTCTCGCAGAAGCAGTCTGCTTGTCACTTGGTAATGGCAAATATTTTATGTTCATAGGCCTGGGACAGAGTTCTACCATTGACTGCAGTTGTTTTGGTCTGCAGGGCTCTCAGGATCTGCTTTTTTTTTTTTTTTTTCTTCTTTTCTCTGAATATGAGATGTGAACTGGAATTCAGTCTTGTTAATACCTTTTGGTCGGGCTTTTGGTTTCAGGTGGTCTGGCAGCAGACAGGGTTGTTCCTCATCAGTTGCAGCTTTTCACAGCTTTAAAGACTTTGTGAGTAAAATTGTGCCCTGATAGAGTCAAGTAGAAAAACTTCTCTTTTACATTGGCTCCAGGGCTTAATCTACTTTAATTGAAGGCTAACTGGAAGATGCAACTTTATGTTAGAAATACTGCTACTTTCAAGGGAAAAAGGGAAAAGCAGGGTTCTGATTGTCCCCTTGTTTTTGGGCTGGAATATCGTTCATTCTAACAGTGCTGTCAGATTGCTAGGGGTTTGGTTCCCAGTTCCACCAGAGGGCCCTGCAAGGCTGTGAAAAGGACTCCAGTGCACAGCTGCAGACAGACAGCACACTTGCTGTCTCGTGATTTAAGTCACAACGGTGCATTTTGCTAATTAGAGTTATGTGTCTTTTGTATTTCAATGGGTCAGATGTGGTTAGTGCACAATAAGCTTTAGCCTTTTGTGCTGTTTAGCTCCTTTTATGTCTTAATGTTTTATTCAGTGTGTTATTTATGTGTTTTATTACCCAGTTTCTAAATATAGGGTAGCTACAATATACAGCCCTGGCTGTGATCTCAAGTAATAGGGTAGGGAAAGCAATTCAGTTGAGCAATAGGATCCGTTTGAGACAGAATGAGATGGAGTTTTCTGCATGATGTTTGCTGGTGTATTTTTGAGGGGGAAAAAAGAGGAAGAACTGAACCTTTATTTGGGGTCGAGGGGTGAAGAAGGAGTTTTAAATAACGATGAGAACTTGCTGTATATATGATGGTCTTCTTCAAAATCCATGTGTGCATAGAGGCTGCCAGCAAAGAGAAATTCAGTGTTAATTCAGTCTTTTGTAGTCTTTTATAAAAAGTTTATCCCAGGGAGCTGTGGGAAAAAATTACTGGTGAGGTGAAGAATGTGTACTTATGGGTATTGTACTTCATCATGTTACAGAAAAAATAAAGGAAAAAAAAAAAAGGGAAGCAGTAATATATAGCAAAAAGAAGAGAGACTTTTTGGAAGATCCAGTCTCAACAAAAAAATGATAAGTCCATTGTATCAGTGTGAATCAGGAGGCCAAAACCAAGCT